TCGTTCGTTGGTGTTTCACCGGGTTCGTCGAAAGATACACAGCACTAATCTTGTCACAATAGACCACTGATGCTTTGGTGATTGGACAGTTTAGTTCAAGGAGAAGGTTTCGTATCCAACAAGCTTCAGCGACAGCATTTGCAACTCCTTTGTACTCTGCCTCTGCACTAGAACGTGATACTGTCGGTTGCCGTTTGGAGGACCAGGAGACAAGGTTGGGACCAAGGTAGAGACAGTACCCTGATGTGGAACGACGAGTGTCCGGGCAACCGGCCCAGTCGGCATCGCTGTAAGCAACAAGCTCGTGTATTGCACCCTTTTGGATTTGAAGACCATGAGTATATGTGCCTTTAACATAACATATGATGCGCTTTAGGGCCTGTAGATGCTGATGTCGAGGGTCATGCATGAATAGGCAAATTTGGTTGACAGCATAAGAGATATCGGGCCCGTAAATGTAAGATACTGAAGCGCTCCTGCAAGAGACCGATATTCTGTCGGGTTTGCAATTGGATCACCTGCTTTTGCAGAAAGCTTGGCCTTTACGTCTACAGGTGTGGAGCACGGATTGCATTCCTTCATGCCTGCACGAGCAATTATGTCCAGAGCATATGCCGCTTGACTTAGAAAAATGCTTCCTGGTTTGAAATCAGCCTTAATACCGAGAAAATAATTTAGCTGTCCCATATCCTTCATTGGAAACTCTGCTTTGAGAAGAGAGATGATGTGATGCAGGAAGGCAGTGCTTGAAGCAGTAAGAATTATGTCGTCGACATATAAAAGTAGGTACGCCTGATTTTCACCTTTCCTGTACACAACCAAAGAGGCATCGCTTTTGCTTGCCACAAAACCATTGTTAGAAACATATCGAGCAAACCGAGAGTTCCATGCGCGAGGCGCTTGTTTCAGACCGTAGATAGCTTTTTGAAGCTTGCACACGTGATTGGGAGCAGAGGCGTCTACAAATCCAGGTGGCTGAAACATGTAGGCAGTTTCCTCTAGTTCACCGTGAAGAAAGGCGTTTTCAACGTCAAGTTGGTGAATGGGCCAATCCCGAGCAAGACTGACATGAAGCACCGTTCGTATTGTTGCAGGTTTTACAACTGGGCTGAAAGTTTCATCAAAATCCACACCAGCTTCTTGAGATTTTCCATTGGCCACTAGCCGAGCTTTGTAGCGAGCTAAGGAGCCATCGGCGTTTAGTTTGTGTTTAAATAACCACATAGACCTGACAACATTGACCCCTGGAGGTCGGGGAACAAGATTCCACGTCTTATTCTTAATCATAGCACCATGTTCATCAGTCATTGCAGGGTTCCAATTCGGGTCTTTTAAAGCACTTATGTACTGTTTGGAAGAGGAGAAATATATGAAGTGAGAAGAGAGAGGATGGATTTTGGTTTACGAATGCCAGCTTTACTTCTGGTGGTCATGGGATGACTCGGTATGGAAGGAGCAGAAGCATCTGTTTGAGACGAAGCAATGGTATTTGTGGGAGGTGGAGGTGGAGGTGGGTTATGGATTGCAATAGGAGGCGTTTGTGGAAGCGGTGCTTGCAAAATTGTTTGAAACAGAGGTGAAGGTTCCTCATGATAATCAAGGAACTGATAAGGAGAAAGTTCATTTGGTATAATTGTAGCAGCTGGAAAAATTGTTTCATCAAAGGCAACATGACGAGAAATGATGATTTTATTTGTTTTGAGGTCCAGACATCTGTAACCGCGGTGCTGAGTCGGGTAGCCAAGAAAAAGACATGGCGTCGTTCTTGGAGAAAGTTTTTGAAGGTTTGAGTGATTGAGATTTGGAAAACAGAGACACCCGAACACACGTAAGTGGTCATATGTCGGCTTTTTGTGAAACAAAAGATAGTAAGGAACCCGATTATGAATGGCGGAGGAAGGGAGAATATTCAGAAGATGAACAGCTACATGAAGAGCTTCAACCCAGAACGTGGGAGAGAGCTTTGCTTGAAAGAGTAAGGTACGAACCATATTGTTTATGGTACGAATCATTCTCTCAGATTTGCCATTTTGTTGAGAGGTATGGGGGCAAGAAAATCGAACTTTTATCCCATTTGAATCAAAGAAGTTGTGAAAATCTTTATTATTAAATTCACCCCCATTGTCACACTGGAAAGATTTTATAGAGGTTTGAAATTGATTTTGAACAAAAGTATGAAAATGTATAAACTTAGCAAAAACTTTACTTTTTCGTCTAAGGGGATAAACCCAAAGAAAATGTGTGAAATGGTCAAGAAAGAGAACGTAATATCGAACACCACTCACACTTGGTAAGGGAGATGTCCAGACATCAGAGTGAATTATGTCAAAAGGATGTGAAACTTTAGTTTGAGATGAAGAAAACGGAAGTTTTATTTGTTTTCCAAGTTGACAAGCCTCGCAAATCAAAGGCAAGCTGTCTTTATTACAAGCTAAGGAATTAGAAGAAACAACAGAACGTAGAGAATCATAATTGAGATGCCCAAGTCTCTTATGCCAAAGATTTGGAGATTGGGCAGAGAAAGCGGAGTGAGGCGGAGGTGTGTGAGCTGAGATAGGAACAGAATAAAGGTCACCCGAGCTATTACTGCGGAGAAGCGTTCTCCGAGTGTTCAGATCCTTCACAGAGAAACTAAAGGGATCAAATTCAACAGAACACCAATTATCAGTTGTGAATTTTCGAACTGAGATAAGATTTTTAACAATTTGGGGAGTAATCAGAATATTGGTAAGAGAAAGAGGATGAGAGGAAGAGGTGAGAAAAGAATTTCCAGAAGCGGTGGTTGGAATTACTGAACCGTTGCCCACAATGACTGAATTTTTGGTATTACGATTAAGAATAGATGTGAGAATACCTGGATTGGAAGCTAGATGTGCTGTTGCACCTGAGTCCATATACCAATTCCCAGCTGATGGATCAGTCATCGTCATCGTGTTGAAAGCTGCAGCAAAATCTGTAGTGGGCTCAAGTTCAGTAAGATTTGCAGATGGCATAGTTGGGCCTGTTGGTCGTGAGCCCAAAACACCTCTTGACAGACCTGCAGGAGGATACATGTTCCAAGGCCCAAATTGTTTTGCCCATTGTTGAAATGGATTGGGCCAGTAACTTTGAAGAGCCCAATTGTTGAAGGGAGGTCGCTGTTGGTAATTGTGTCGTCCTCGAAAACGATTTCCATTGCTGCGCTTGTTGCCACGGTTATTTGAGAATCTGGTCGGAGCATTCTTCTCCAGTGGTGGTTGCTGTGCTGTCGTCACCAAGACCGTGGAGGAGGAAGGATGATCTGAGTGAGACACCACCGGTTTGTGCGACTTCTTCAGGCGAGATTCTTCTGATTCAAGCATCGATCGAGCCGTTTTAAAACTGGGAAAAGGTTCACGATGTTTGATAACATTGATAATATTATCAAACTTTTCATTGAGCCCATTCAACAAATACCTCACCAAGGTTCGGTCTGGTACGGGAGCGTCAACGTTTGCGAGCAGATCGGAGAGCGACTTGAGGCGTTGACAGTATTCGTCGACAGATTGATCACCTATTTCCATAGTCCTAAAATCGTTATCGAGTTGGATGGCACGGGCTTCCTTATTGTTACGGAAAAGATTTTCAATTCGAAGCCATATGTCTCTTGCTGAGCCTCCCGTTTGAAACGCCTTACGGAAGAGTTGCTGAGCAAGGGTGCCATAGATCCACAGTTTCACGAGGCCATCTCGCTTCTTCCAAGCTAGATCGTTGTTGTCGGTGGGCAGAGATGTCCCGTCGACATGACCGAGCACATCGAAGGTGAGACAGTGGGTGAGAAAGAGTTCCCTCCACGCATCATAATTGTGTTCGTCTTGATCGAGAATCAGAGGGATGTGCGATTTGATGTTGGTGACACCAAACGCTCGCTCAGTTGTAACAGGGACTTGAGCCATTGATTTAAGGTGGAGAGGAGAGAAGAAAAGAGACAAGTACAGAGAAGAGAAGAAAGAGAAGATGGAAGGAGAGTAGCAAATAGAGAACGAGAAAGAAGAAGAAAAGTGACAGGGAAAGAGATGGTACTGTGGCGTTAGCCAACTTGCTCTGATACCATGAAATCTGATAATTTCCCTTGACTGTATTCACATCTCTTTACACAAATATATACACAGAAATGAACAAGATCTAATCCTAATTAACAGGGCGAAATTGTCGTGATTTATAATTGATTGACACGACAAATCCCTAAAGGAATCAATCAAATTAATTGCAAGATTTTCTTAATATCTATCAAAAGAGGTGCTTCCTGCTTGGAGTCATTTGCTGTGAATGGCTTTGTTCAAGAGTATTATAAAGGCTTCGTGTACCTATGCTTCTTCCATTTGTGTTTGAATTGAAACTAGCCAATACCAGATTGCCAGTTTGATGATGTACTAAGCTAGAGGCATCTACAAAAGCAACAAAATTGAGTAGCTCTATTAATAGCTTCTTGAGATGTTTGTGAGGTTCCAATTTTGACGAGGCAACTTCTATGGATAGAGTTTCTCTTGTGTTCTCTTGAGTGTTCTTTTAAGTAATTTAATTGCTTTTATCAATCAATCATCAGAGAAGAAACTTTCTGCAATTTTAATTTCTTTTGTTCCCGTAACATACAAGTTATCTCAAGGTACCGCGAGAAAATCACAGAGAATATCTCTGTTGCTTAAATCACGGATAATATAATCTCGTACTTCCATACTCAACACTTATCAAGCGGCGTCGTTTTTCGCGCTTTCGGTTTAAAAAATTAAAAAGAAATTCTTTAAACCGACAAACTTCTTCGACATCGACCTCTAAAATTTTAAGAACCCTAAAAATCCACCGGAAATCGATATCTAATCAACTTCTTCAGATTTCACCGAAGAAGACAGAAGAAAACGAACTAGATACATTTCACAAACTTGTGTCTTTTTTGTTTTATTTTTACTGAAGATATCCACCGAAGAAAACCTGACAAAAACTCTATCAGAAACGTCGCGCTTCTGCATATTGAGAAAGCAGCAATGGAAGATTTGGACTTTCCGGTAAGGGAAGATACATAAATTCGTTTTTGGGTTGTATGAGTGTGTTTATCTTTCGATTTGGATACTTTTTGATATGAATAATGACCAAAGATCACCTTCGTTTCTACAGATTTGCATACTGAAGATGAACCTCCAATGTTGCCAAGACTTTCCTTGTCTGGTCAAGAAGCGTCTGCGAGAAGTAAAAGGTCTACTGTCAAATAATTAACCTAGTTTCAATTCAAACCTAATCGTGCCTTGTACAACAAGTTTTTGATTTTAATGGTTGTCTATGGATGAGCAGGGGTTTACGCCATAACCATAGACCCAGCCAAGGGTCTGATTTTGGTCTCCGGCACAGCCGAACCTCCTCTGCTTATCAAAGCCATCGAAAAAATCGGACAAAGTCCGCCACTTTACGCCTACGAAAAAGAACCAACTAAGGCTAAGACCCAGTTCAAGGCCTTGCTTAAGCGTTACGCCACCGAGGAGCGTCAAGACGAACTGCCACCAACCGCTGATGATGCCGGAGCTTGCCCCGGGAAATCGGGACCACCACCCACAGCCGATGCTGGAGCTTGTCCAGCACCAATTTCGGGTTTCGGCTACTCGGGACAGCCGATGATGCCGATATTTACGTTGCCTCAGACTATGGGTCCTCCGGGATGGTTAGCCCCGGGGACAAAACCGAGGCTGATGGTGAGATACGAGGAGCCAGAGATGAAGACGAGGAAGGCCCCGGCGCCTTATCCCTTCGATTTCTACGAGAGCAAAGGGTTCCCTGCATCAGATTCCCTTTTCAAGTATTTCAGCGATGATCACGCTCAACCTTGCACCATCATGTGATTCATGGTGACTTTGAAACAAAGTTTTAGTTGGTTTTACTGTTGTTCTCAAAGTTATTAGACTTGGTATATTAAACTTGGCCAAGAATTTACTTTAACACAAAGTTAATGTTCTATATATTTATCAGAGCATCATCATCAATATAAGTGAATCATTCAACAAACGAAAATGTATTATCACAATTGTACAGAGAGGAAAAGGGGTAACAAGAGAACACACGCCACACACAACTACATAAAAAAAAAAACACACGAGCTTTTTTTGTTTACTCAACACACAACTATAGACAAACCAGTTTACACGTACACTTCAATATTTCTTTTTCTTTTTGTTTTCCCTCATGTCTTCTTTAGGAATCTGAACGACGTAAAAGAAAACAGGAATAGCTACTAACCAGAAAGCAATGTTGATGAATACCTTATCAGTGAAAAGCATACGAGGTAGCAAGATGCCACTGCCAAATGCCATAATGATCGACGCCATAAAGTTTGCAAACGGGCCATCATTTGATTCTTTAGGAGCTCTTCCATATGATTGGATCAGCTCTTCCTCAATTGCCTTAACAGTCTCCCTCACAACATATTTGTCCGTCTTGGGACATGGCTGGGGATAACGAGGATGACCAGGGCTGGGAAGCCTGAAAAAGGATTTATATATAGATTACAATACAAACACAGAATTGGCTTAGTGTCATTTGTAGACCAAACTGTTTTTCTTTTTTTTAATGAATCTTTTAACCTTAAATGACATACGGAACAAACTGAGATTTTCCATTTTGAAGATCCAAGTATGCATCAAAACAAATATTTATCACTAAATCATTACGTACCTAGCATCGCTCCAGACCACACCGCTTCTTTGTGAAATTAATTCCACAGCTTCTTTCCAATCATTGATCTTGTGTGGATGTTCGGCTCTCATCTCCTCGAATTTTTTGCCAAACACACCTTCGAATTTTTTCACTTGTCTCGTTGTCACGTTGACAAAGACAGGGATCACAAAGATTTTGCGGTCCACCACGAGCTCCTTCATCTTGTGAAGCTCGTCCAAACAATACTTAGATTCTGGATATCGCTTGGAGAACAAGGCAAGCACGATTTTCGAGTTCTCAATGATCTTGAGGAGATCATCTATTGGTCTACCTTTCTCCAAGTTGTCATCTATGAAGAACTTGATATTATCTCTTTTTAACGCTCGCAAGAGATCTGGAATGAAGTTGTCGCGCAGCTCCTCTTTACGGTAATATCCCCAGCTTGAGAAGAGGCTGCCATTTCAGGGTGCAAATCCTAGCAAGCAAATAGACAAACACACAAATTCCACAATCAAACCTCTTAAAGCTAGACACTCTCACTGACTATATACCATTTAAATTAACTACAAAATAGGTAGATAAGATAACAATTATCTCTGGTTATATATGTTGATGCTCTTATTCTAACATCAGGTTTATTGGGAAACTAACATGTATTCTAGGATTGGGAATTGCATTAAGTGAAAATTAACATCGTATTATGATCTTCCTATACCACTAACAAAAAAAAGGAACCAAGTATACAAGTATCTACAAAACCCTTGGTTGGTACAAACTTATGACTTAGCTGATTCATATATCATTTGAGGCTTCATGTCTCTATTGATACACACAAGAACCAAAGACAGAAAGCAAAGCAACAGAACTGTCTGAAATTCACCGGTTTCTCTTATTCAGATTAGGCAGGTTCTAAAAAAAGAATTTATTTTTTAGAAGATAGCAAGGAAGCGTTACAGATTCTCGAAGACGATCGTTGTGCGATTGCGACTTGGGGAGAACCAAAAAAAACTAATAGAAATCAAATTGTCGTTTGGTCAGAAAAGCGGAAAGAGATTGAGATTATCAGATTATAATTTTGAAGATCCACAAGTAGATAAATACTTACCAAAATACTTGAAGATATCAGAGGATAAGAATTTGGATCTTCCAGAGGAAAATAAAAACTTGTTTTGGGGGAACAAATAAAGAGGCGGCAATGATTAGAGGAGGAACAAAAAAAAAGTCAAGTCGATTTCTTTAATTTATAGTGAACAAAAGGCGTAAAGGTTTGGATCAACTTTTGTAAGAAGAGAAAAGCGACCTACCTACCTTTCAGTGTCGGGTGATTTTTAGCGTTGACGCAAATGATTAGATTTATTATAACTACCTAGGGAAAATTGGCCAATTCAGACCTAAACTTTTGGAAAGTTTTAAAGTTAGGCTTGAACTATTTTTCTGGTTAAAACATACTTAAACATTATGTAGTGTGCTTTGTCATACTTGAACTCTGTTAACATTTGAAAGGCATTCTTAATCTTTGGTATAGTTTGAATTTCGTACTCCATATTTATGCTTTGTGCTAAAACCAATTTCCAACATAACTCTGTTAAGTTTTCTGTCAAGCTGTGGTCTACGTGGCGGCCACGTAAGTGACGTCGTTGTTTAAGGTTTCTTTAGTTTTTTTGGAAAAAACGTGAAAACGATGTCGTCTGTTCCTTAACTTGGGGAAAACAATTCTATCCCGCGACACAACCTTTCATATTCTTTTCTTCTTCGTCGAAACAAAGTAACAGAGCGATCATCACTTAGGGCTTGGAGAAGTGAGTTTTGAAGTGGTGTAAGCTTTTGATTATTGCATAGAGCTTGGAGATATGAGGTAAACTTTGAGTTCGTGTTTTTTCTTTCTATTTTTGTATCGATTAGCTAGGGTTTAGAGTTTGAGTTATAATGTTATTTGATGAGAGGCTTTGATTAGATCGCTTTATGGTTTAGGTTTTAGATACGGTATTGGTTCTAAATCACTATCTAATATCATTGCGGCAAGAGATATAATTTTTGACTCTGAAAATCTGTTAACTCTCGTTTCAGTTCCGAGGAGGCTGTGTTTCAAGTGCATCACAATGAGAAGTTCGTGATGTCAATGGTAAACGAAACGACATACATTGGAGGAGAGGTCAACACGCTCATAAGCCGTCCAGCCTCCATGTTTGAAAATCTGGTGGATTCATTGAAGATTTCTTTGAGCGGACAGCGGATTTGGTTGGATTTTGAGACTCTTGTTATTGCTTCTACTCTGATTTTTGGTTTTCTTTTTGTTCTACAACGAGAATTTTGCACAATGAAACAAATTTGAACAACAGTTCAATACACAGTCGAACCTAAACCATGACAATGACAAAGATTTGTGTTGTCATTATCAATACACGAATTGTGGCTCAAACATGACAATGCCAAAGACTAGAGCAACACATAATCGTTATTGAAAATGCAAAAAACACTACAGATAATCCTAATGGAAAATGTAAAATACGATCACACCCATTACCAATCCACTAACCATCACATTTTTAATGGAACTCATGACTGCATTAAGCTTTTCAATCTCATTTTTGCAGGAACAGACATCAGCTTTTAACTCTCCAATCTCCTTCTTAAATCCGGCGGCTTCTACTTTCAATGCTTCAAGTTCACGTCAAAAGCGTTCAACCTCTTCAACGATAGAAACATCTGTCCACTTGAACAGATGATTTTTATCCTAACAACAATACAACATATTCGATTTATATGGGTCACTGACATCAAAATAAAGAACAAATTAATTAACAGAGACTATATATACATTACCTCCTTCGATCCATACGGACAACAATAGAATAGTCTCCCCGGATTTTGATATGTCTCCGAAGTTCTGATGTCTGTGCTGCTTGAAGGAGATTACTTCACAAAAAAAATTGACGTTAGTTATCGGATGAAAAAGAAAAAAGAAATCTACTCACAACGTAATACACTAACAAACACATAAGAGGGACAAATATTTAATTTACCCGAACTGCTAGAAGAAGACATCGAATACGAAAAATAATCCAGAGACTGAAGAATTTGATTTTTAAATCCCTAAGTCGTCGATATGTCAAGTATCGAAGGGTTGAAGAAGATATAAACGACATCACTTTATGTATTTTACTTGTTAAACTTGATAAGTCCAAAACGACGTCATCGCTGACGTTGATGCCACATATACGTGATTTAACGGATCGTTAACACCTATGGACGGAAATTTATTTAAACACAATACACATAGATTACGGATGAAATTCAAATATTTATAATGTTTAAGTATGTTTTAACCAGAAAAATAGTTCAAGCCTAACTTTAACACTTCCCAAAAGTTTAGGTCTGAATTGGCCAATTTTCCAACTACCTAGTACCTACCTTTTCCTCGTTCCCCTTAAAGTGGATGATATGGACTCAATGGAAAATAATTTGGCTACATACAGTATTTTTCTTTCTAGAATTTTATTGGTTTTAATTTTGTTTTTTGATCGAAATTTTTTCGAATTAATTGTATAGAGAGTTTTCCTACAAAGATCCCAAACACCGATGATTAAACATAGATTTAATAAATAAATAAAATTCCTATACAGTCTCCTTGGAGCAGCTAGTTTGCGATCGCAATCTTCTTTTGCTTGGACAAAGATTTGTGAAGCATAAATTTTGGTGAGATAAGGTGTTAAAAAAGAATTTGGTTATGGAGAAATCTAGTCTCATCAGGCTTCATCAAGATCCAAAATCAAAATAAATCCTAAGCTTAATAGCAATTTTTTGACAGCAAAAGATTTTTAGGATGATACTCATTAGTACATTGTCAAATTATCATTAGTACTGCGAGACTGTTTGCTGTATGTAAGAAAGCTCCTTAAAAGACATCTTAACCTCAGCTAGATATCGATATAATAGTCTTTGAAACGCAGGAGTTTTGAGAACAACTGAATTCTCAAGAAAGTGTACATGTTAACTAGGGATACATGTATATCATCTTTTAATCAAAGTGAATCTCTTACTGTCACGTGTAATTAGTTTATGCTAATTTCTAGGAGTCATTTTCTTAGTATGGTTCTTTGAGCTGACCCTAGATATATTATGCATGCGTTACAATAGTCCAAATAACTTGAATGGGTAAAACCACCTGAGTCTAACCCCTCATTACTTGGCGATGTAGTTGCACCGTTGCACCGTTAGGAACTGAGTGGTCAGACGTGTGCCATGTTATTTTTCCTGCACCCAACACATATGTACCATGTTATTTGAATGAATGGTATCAAGAAGTGAGCGGTCAATTTAAAAATAAGAAGGCCGAACAGTAGGATTACATGGTAGTTCAGAAAACCAGGCAAGTAAACGGCAATCAGGATGTCAGTATAAGAAAATGGGGCCAGGTATATACTTATTAATTTACCAATCTAGTTTCTAAACTCTTAAAGGGTTTAGATTTCCCTTCCATATATTCTTCAAAATTCATTCAAACCTATACAAAATTATGTACGAAGGATTGACCATCTAATAATAAGTTTTTTTTCAATATGTGATAGGTGAAAGCACTATGCATAGAGGAGATAAAAGTATGGGAAGAGCTCTTCCACACCATTGTTATTGAAATTCAAGAATCCAGTTATGAACTACAAAATACATCACATTCTGGTTAACTAAATTTACCAAATTGGTGCAGTCTCCTTCAAATTGAATTATTCTATGTCAATGCACTGTGTGTGGTCTCGGACTACAAATAAACCAAATTGGTGCAGTCTCCTTCAAATTGAATTATTCTATAGTCCGAGACCACACACAGTGCATTGACATCCTGCAAACAAATAAACTCCGTTGGCATCCCTTGCAATTCACTCTGCTTTACAAACAAGAGTCATTAGTAAAAATCATACTTGCATTTGATCCATCCATGCTTTCTGGTTTTTGCGATTGCATCATTGCGGAACTAGTTTGATTTGGTTCAAGGTTGGTCATTTTATGGTTCTTTTTTTTTTTCCCAAATACTAATTTATACCTTCAAATAGAGAGTACACTGTTTTGCAAATCAGCCTGAACAAGAGGCTGCAGCCATAAGGGAAATACATTAACAAGAGAAGGTATATAGGTTTGCAGCTGACTAGCAGCTCGTGCAAGGCCATCAGCAGCGTGATTACACCTTCGAGATCTATAGGAAAACGCGAAGTCGTCAAAACAGCGGCCAATCTCAAGAGTCTCATGGATCAGGGGAGCCAGGCTCGGCCAGGAATCAGGGTCATTAAGCGCCGATATAACATCTTGACAATCAGAGAGAATGTGAACTTTCCTGCGAGGGAATTGGCTCAGACAACGGACAGCCCATCTAACCGCCTCTGCTTCAGCAAAGAGGGAGGAGGGCACATTTGGGATAGCCATCGAGCCAGCTCTAAACTCCAAGTCTTCCCCTTCAATTATAATCCAGCCCAGGCCACATGTCGTGCGAGACGACTCCCACGAACCATCTACCGAGCACAAAGTCCATCCCTGACCTGTCAAAACATTAGGATTTGGGGTTAGATGAGGGGCCGAGGTTAACGCAGCCAGGTGACCATCATCATAGTCCAAGCTAGTCTTCCATAATTCAAGATCTTCTCTCGCTCGCAGGATAGTCTGAGGGGCTGGATCATTCATGGCTGAAAACAAGAGGCTGTTACGGGCTTTCCACAGTCGCCAAATCAACCACGGAACTAGGAGGGTGAGCTCTTTTGCCGGGTCAGAAGAAGCCACCTCAGTTAGAAACACAGCAAAATTTGCAAATATGGATCCCGTAAACCCATTTCTGAACAGAGGAGAGCATTCTGAGAGAGCCCAGACCTGTCTAGCGTAGGGGCATTCAAAAAAGATGTGGTTAACCGATTCCTGTTCAGCCCCGCAACGCTGACAACTTGCATCCAGAGCCATATGCCTATAGGCTAGGTTAGCGGCCACTGCCAAATTGTTAGAGAGGCATCTCCATAGAAAATTTTTCAACTTGGGAGATGTGTCAAAACTCCAAATGGCGTGGAACAATGGGTTGATCGTTGGGCCAAACACATGTAGATTCAGGTTGTTTGCATTAAGAACGTGGACGATGGCCCAATACGCTGACTTCACCGAGTAGAGCCCAGTCTTGTTAAACCGCCAACGATAACCATCACGGGCTACTGCAGAGCCCAGGCTAACCGAGGATACCA